GGTGGCCAGAGCGCCGGGTGGAGGGCGGAGAGTCCGCCGCGGCTCCACTCTCCCCGGCGGCCAGAGTGCTGGGAGGAAGGCGGAGAGCCTGCCGCGGCTCCGCTCTCCCCCATGGCCAGAGCTCCGGGGGGAGGGTGGAGTGCCAGCCGGGGCTCCGCTCTCCTGGCGGCCAGAGTGCCGGGGGGAGGCCGGAGAGCCCAGCCGGGGCTCCGCTCTCCCCGGCGGCCGGAGCCGGAGCACCGCGCCGCCCCCCTCCAGGTGCCACCCCAAGCACAAGCTTGGTGGGCTGGTGCCTGGAGCCGGCCCTGATGAGGAGGTGTCAATTCAAGGAGAGGCAAAGCTGCTTTTGTAATGAGCCAACCACTCCCAGTCCCTATTCAAGTCCACATTAGTGGTGTTAAATTTGCAAATGAATTTTAGTTCTGCTGTTTCTCTTTGAAGTCTGTTTCTGAAGTTTTTTTATTCAAGAATAGTTACTTTTAAATCTGTTATAGAATGTCCAGGGAGACTGAAGTGTTCTCCTACTGGCTTCTGTATGTTACCATTCCTGATGTCCGATTTGTGTCCATTTATTCTTTTACGTGGGGACTGTCTGGTTTGGCCAATGTACATGGCAGAGGGGCATTGCTGGAACATGATGGCATATATAACATTAGTAGACGTGCAGGTGAATGAGCCCTTGATGGTGTGGCTGATATGGTTGGGTCCTTTCATGGTGTTGCTAGAGTAGATATGGGGACAGAGTAGGCAACGAGGTTTGCTACAAGGATTGGTTCCTGGGTTGGTGTTTCTGTGGTGTGGTGTGTAGTTGCTGGTATTTGCTTCAGGTTGAGGGGGTTGTCTGTATGCGAGGACTGACCTGCCTCCCAAAGTCTGTGAGAGTGAGGGATGGTTTTCCAAGATAGGTTGTAGATGATTGATAATGCGCTGGAGAGGTTTTAGCTGGGGGCTGTACATGATGGCCAGTGGTGTTCTGTTATTTTCCTTGTTGGGCCTGTCCTGTAGTAGGTGATTTCTGGGTATCCGTCTCACTCTGTCAATCTGTTTCCTCACTTCTCCAGGTGGGTATTATACTTTAAAGAATGCTTGATAAAAATCTTGTAGGTGTTTGTCTCTGTCTGAGGGATTGGAGCAAATTTGGTTGTTAGGAATTGGCTGTAGACAATGGATCGTGTGATGTGTCCTGGATGGAAGCTGGAGGCATGTAGGTGAGTATAGCGGTCAGTAGGTTTCCGGTATAGGGTGGTGTTTATGTGACCATCATTTATTTGCACTGTAGTGTCCAGGAAGTGGATCTCTTGTGTGGACTGGTCCAGGCTGAGGTTGATGGTGGGGTGGAAATTGTTGAAATCCAGGTGGAATTTTTCAAGAGCCTCCTTTCCATAGGTCCATATGATGAAGATGTCATCAATGTAGTGCAAGTAGAGGAGGGGCGCTAGGGGACAAGAGCTGAGGAAGTGTTGTTCTAAGTCAGCCATAAAAATGTTGGCATACTGGGGGGCCATGCGGGTACCCATAGTAGGAGAGAGACAAAAACAACACAATCAACAGCTCCTTTGAGGTCTTGGCATACAAGTGAATTAGTTTGAACCCACACTAACACAGAACACTGCTTTGATATTCACATACAAATGAATTCCTAAGACTCTGGCATTCCCTGGCACTTGGCCTGTCAGTGTCATAGGATCACACAAGGTCTTTGATAGTTCCTCACAGTCTAAATCCACCCTGGAACAGCCACCATATGATTTGTTGTTGTGTCCTTATGTTTTCTCTGTAATAAACAGTTCATGTAAAATTTATCACTTACATCAAACACGGCTTATTTAGTCTGAACTGATAAAGCACAGAATTCTGAATATATTTATTTTGTGTCATATATTTATCATCCTGGATCTTTGTAAGGATGCAACATAGAATGATACTTCTCAGGCTGACTGACAGAAAATGCTGTGTGAGATGGAATAGTAGGGAGATGAAAGAAAAGACAAATAGGTGATGCTAGAATTTCAACAAAGACTACTTGTTCTTGCAGGATCAATCTTGTTTTGTAGTATGCATTGTTATTGCTTCAGTTCATTTGGGGGAACTTGTACTGTAAGTGTGAGCTGTCTGATTTTGCTAAAGACAGGCTGCAGGTATACTGAAAGTTTTACTCAAACTGAGTGAATTCACCCAACATTGTATGGTAGGTCTCAGTTCAGCAGAGTCACTATGATTTAGGAAGAAGGAAGTGAATGATATGGGTCTTTGAATCCTTTATACAAGGTAGAACTGGACACTGCTCCTCGTAGGCCAGGGCAGATGGACTGTTTGGCAGCAAACCAAGTGAGGAGCAGTGGTTCCATGATAATCCTGTAATCCTAAGTCTCTGTGGCTGGAGTGGCTACAACAAAGGGTCTATGCAACTTCTCCACACCTTGTGTCCTGATCAGGGGGCAGATATGGTTATCCTCAACCTTTCCACCATTCCCTCACACGAAGCCCATTTTACTCAGGCTCTGTGCCAATATTGTATGAATTTCAGCTTGAGAGCCATGTTCTACTGTTACATTTCACATGCACAGATACCGCTGAAGTCAGTGGAAAATGTGGATGTTTATATGAGGGCAAAATTCAGCCCTAAGAATTAAAGGCATGTTAGATTTCTTCATTTCATTCGGAGATGCTACGTGTACATCTGACTCCCGAGACACAAAATCAGGGCAGCTTTCATGGGCTCTATTCCCTTGAGTGCAGAGACATAGTTGTACCTCATTTGACACATTCATTTAGAGCCCAGTCTTGCAAGATGCTGAACACGTGCTGAGATGAGCTGAAATCCTCAAATCCCATCACCATTTGGCTCTAAGATGCTCAGCGTCTTACAGGATCACGATGGTTCATTTCAGAAACATTTGCGGTCAGTTTCAATTAGGCATATATTTGCAAAGATGCAAAAGATATCAGCTGTGTGGTTTTGGTGCATTAGTTTTGCTTTAGTTTACATATACCTGGATACAGTGAACAAAAGACACAATACATGGTTGTTTTCTGTATTAAATATCAATTTTGTCACATAATGATTATAGTAATTAAATGAACCTTTCCTACAGTCAGTAACATTTAAGCCTAACATTTCCAATTTTAATTAAGTGCGCATTTGTTCACATGTGTGTATAATTATTTTTCTTTATTTATTTCATCTTTATCAGAGTTTCCTGTAATGCACTGGATTTAGATTATGTTAAAACTTACAAGGGCCTTTGATGAGAGAATAAATAATTCAGATTAAACCTACCTTTCTATAATGTGTTAGAGTGGTAGCAGTAAAAAAGGGGGAAAGTTCTCTGTTCGTGTTCTTTCTGGCATTGATAATAACAAAAAAAAAACCCAGATTTTTATTTATACATTTCTAATTGTATTGGTGGATGAATCATTGCCACATTGAATATATTTATTCACTGTTTGCTGAGGATACTCTTGTTTCTTTGTGTACAGAGAGTTTGGATGGAGAGATCCAGAACTTCCTGAAGTTATACAGATGTTACAGCATCAGTTCCCTTCAGTACAGTCCAATGCTGCAGCCTACTTGCAGCATCTCTGTTTTGGAGACAATAAAATAAAAGCAGAGGTAAGACACTTTAAAATTTTCTTTTAAAATGGCTTTGTCTGCTAATTACCACCAGAAATTTTGTATAATTACACCTCTACCCCGATATAACGCGGTCCTCGGGAGCCAAAAAATCTTACCGCGTTATAGGTGAAACCGCTTTATATCGAACTTACTTGGCTCCTTGGCTCCACCGGATTGCGCAGTCCCTCCCTCCCTCCCCCTCCCCCCCGGAGTGCTGCTTTACCGCGTTATATCCGAATTTGTGTTATATCAGGTCGCGTTATATCGGGGTAGAGGTGTATTTAAAAAAGACCTTCAAGGGAAATCATGTATATATGTATATAACCTGTATATTCAAGCTTTTAAATCATCATTACCATCACAGAAGGTGAGTTGCATAAAATGTTATTGAATCAGCCCCTTGGATGACTCATTTGTTTGGATTTGATTATTTTAAATTGAATGTGAGGTATTCAAATGTTCTGGCAGCCTAGGTGTCCAATAAGCAACTAATGGCATGATCTTGCTTCCACTGAAGTCATAGGAATTTTGCTTTTGATTTAAATTGAAGCAAGATTGGGGCCTAAATAAAAGAAAAAATTGAAATGCATAAATGTGTAACGTGTGCTACATTCCAAATAGAAACAAGAACACAAAACATGGGGCAGTAAAAAGGGTTCTGGGCCCAAACTCTGTTTTAATTTATACTAGTGTAAATCAGGAATAATTCTATTGAGTTGAATCGGAGATTTGCCTGAACAAGAAATTCAAGATTTGGCCCAAGACTTTTAGCCTGCAAAAACCAAACGGATTATTTTATTATTTCACCCATTTTTTTGGAAATAATTCTTACAAAAATAAAAGCTGAAAAGCAGATGGGTCAGTACAATTTCTGTCTAAAGCCTCACAAAAACCATAGGCCCAGATCCTCAGCCCTCGCTGGCCCATACTTGGCATTGGTGAGGGAGAGAGACCTTTGTGCTCCCTTGATCTCTGTGGCTGCTGGTAGCCAGCTCAGCTCCTGCCACAAATTTAAAACAGCCACAGAGGTGCTCTAAAATTATCCCAGTGCAGCACTGCTCCAAACCCTCCTCCCTCCACCATCCTCACCAGAAGAGCCCCCTATACGAGCTGTACTCCACCCTGGGATTCCTCCATACATGTGGAATTCCCAGGTGGGAAAGATTTTGCCAGAGCAGCCTAAAAGGATTGTATTGGTCCAAGGAACTGTCCCATGATTTTTTGAGATTCAAAAATAAATTATAGGACAGTTAAAATACAATATTTTTCTCTGTCTGAAAAGAGGTCCATAACTGCTATAAGCCTAGATGTACTCCCCCTCTCACACCCTTCTTACCCTTTTCTCTCATTCCATCTCCGCTGCTCAGTCTTTCATTAAAAGGATTGATTCATCTCTTCAGGTTTCCCAGAAAGACAGTTACATGATTATGGCAATTTATTCATTGTACAACCACTGCTTCCTCCTGTTAGTCATGGATGGGGAACCCTTGGGCAGCTGCCCAAGTGAAGGGAAGAAAGTTGTTTGTTTTGTTGCCAGCTGTGTATGGAAAATCCCTTAAGAGAGAGGCTGTTGTAGGCCTGACCTGTCTGATTAGGACATCAGCCTTTGACTATAGTTTAAGCCTTCGGAGTAATGAGCATGTTGTTCTTTGTATATGTGTGTGTGTACTGATATAGGCATATGCAGTACCACAGTGCTCAGCACCACTCTTATATTTTGCTGCAAAAAAGGATAACAAATAAAATAAGAGATTTTGCTGGTGATGGTGGTGTGTTTCTCCCTTTATTGGTTTTTCCCCAGGCCCTTGATAGATTTCTACCTTTGCAACAAGCAAGATGCATTTGAGGGCAAGACAAAATCATTTTTGTAAAACAGTACTCATGAGAATATGCTTTCATACTGTTGCTGGTGGTGCTATAGATCTTGCTAACAACCAGTGGAATCTGTCTCCCTTTCTTCAGCTTTATGAAGAGTTTTTAACCTAAAGTATGCAAAGTCAGCAAACTCCTTATTAATGATGATATGTAAAAGTACCAGAAAATTCTTATTTATAGCACTCTGATTTCCTCAAATGAAAGGTGCTTTATGGGCATGTCTAGAGTGCAGCTGGGAGAGAGCCTCCCAACCAGGCTAGGCAGACTCATACTAACAGGGCTCAAGCTAGCACGCTAAAAATAACAGTGTGGACTCATAGACTCATACACTTAGGCTGCAGCTCAGACTGTCAACCCTACCTAAATCCCTAAGCTTGAGAACCTGAACTCCAACCCAAGCCTCAGTGTTCACACTGCTGTTTTTAGTGCATTGGTGCCCATATTTAGTGCAAATATAGTGCCCATCTTTAAAAAAGGGAAGAAGGAGAACCCGGGGAACTACAGACCGGTCACCCTCATTTCAGTCCCTGGAAAAATCATGGAGCAGGTCCTCATGGAAACCATTTTGAAGCACTTTGAGGAAAGGGAGGTGATCAAGAACAGTCAATATGGATTCACCAAGGGCAAGTCATGCCTGACCAACTTGATTGCCTTCTATGATGAGATAACTGGCTCTGTGGATATGGGGAAAGCAGTGGACATGATATATATTGACTTTAGCAAAGCTTTTGATATGGTCTCCCACAGTATTCTTGCCAGCAAGTTAAAAAAGTATGGATTGGATGAATGGACTATAAGGTGGATAGAAAGCTGGCTAGATTGTCGGGCTCAATGGGTAGTGATCAACGGCTCAATGTCTAGTTGGCACCTGGTATCAAGCGAAGTGCCCCGGGGTCGGTCCTGGGACTGGTTTTGTTCAACATCTTTATTAATGATCTGGATGGTGGGATATGCTGGAGGGTAGGGATAGGGTCCAGAGTGACCTAGACAAATTGGAGGATTGGGCCAAAAGAAATCTGATGAGGTTCAACAAGGACAAGTGCAGAATCCTGCACTTAAAGGACAGAAGAATCCTATGCACTGCTACAGGCTGGGGACTGACTGGCTAAGCAGCAGTTCTGCAGAAAAGGACTTGGGGATCACAGTGGATGAGTCAGCAGTGTGCTCTCGATGCCAAAAAGGCTAAAGGCATATTGGGCTGCATTGTAGGAGCATTGCCAGCAGATTGAGGGAAGTGATTATTCCCCTCTATTCAGCACTGGTGAGGCCACATGTGGAGTATTGCATCCAGCTTTGAGCCCCCACTACAGAAAGCCTGTGGACTAATTGGAGAGAGTCCAGCGGAGGGCAATGAAAATTATCAGAGGGCTCGGGCACATGACTTACGAGGAGAGGCTGAGGGAACTGGACTTGTTTAATCTGCAGAAGAGGAGAGTAAGGGGGATTTGATAGCAGCCTTCAACTACCTGAAGGGGGGTTCCAAAGATGATGGAGCTTGGCTGTTCTCAGTGGTGGCAGATGACAGAACAAGAAGCAATGGTCTCAAGTTGCAGTGGGGGAGGTCTAGGTTGGATATTAGGAAACGCTATTTCACTAGGAGGGTGACGAAGCACTGGAATGGGTTACTTAGGGAGGTGGTGGAATCTCCATCCTTATTGGTTTTTAAGGCTTGACTTGACAAAGCCCTGGCTGGGATGATTTAGTTGGGGATGGTCCTGCTTTGAGCAGGGGGTTGGACTAGATGACCTCCTGAGCTCTCTTCCAACCCTAATCTTCTATGATTCTAAGCCTCTCTGTCTGGGTTGAGAGGCTTGTTCCCAGCTGCAGTATGGCCATATCCTATAAGGTCCTGATTCAGCAAAGCACCTAAGCACAAACTATGTGTGTGTTTTAGACTCAAGACTTTGCCTGAATGGGGATGGGATTATTCTGGTGCTTAGAATTAAGTATATGCTTAAGTACTTTGCTGAATCAGTGTCTTATAGATCATCTTTACCTGGAGGAACTCAAAGTGCTATAAATAAGACTATATATTACTTCAGATCTCAGGCTCCAATTTGGCAAGTTTCCTAATTGTGCCTATCTATAGTAGTCCCACTGATTTATTTGGGATTAATCATCTGCTTACAGTTAGGGTATGTCTACACTTACAACACTACAGTGGCACAGTTGCACTGTTGCAGCCATCGGCATAGGTAATCCTCTTCCCCAGGAGGTGTTAGTAGGGTCAACTGAAGAATTCTTGCAACAACCTAGCACAGTCTATACAGGGACTTAGGTCTGCTTAACTTTGCCACTCTGGGGTGTGGATTTTTCACAGCCCTGTGTGATGTAGTTATGCCAACCTAATTTTCTAGTGTAGACCAGGCTTTAGGTATGCATATAAGTAGCTTGCTGAATCCAGACCTAAACAAGGGTACCTGAGAACAGAATTGGACTCTTTCATCCTCTCCAGATATAATGCATTTGTATTCTTTCAGATGATCGAAGAACTTGTTTTCCCTGTCTACATTTCTTGCCTGTTGAATTAGCCAGGATTAGCTGCATTGTTCTGTACAGTTACAAGGAAATGGAAAGGTTTCAGTGGAGTATGCAGGAGAAAGAAGGGCACAGCCAGAAAATGATTTTCACTCTACAACTTGCAACATCTTTGGAATTAATGGTTTAAGACTTTGGATCCCCAAATATAATGCAAGAAAACCAAATTCAACACAAATCCAAATCCATTGAAAAGTAGAAAATTACTACTCTACTTTATTAAATAAATAGGTTTAAAGAGGGGCAAATGGCTTGTGTTGCAGTAGCAAGAAAATGGCCCAGGTGGTGTTTGGGGATTTTGAGAAGGGAGTGGGTAAGGGAAAATATGAATGGAAGAGGTGATATTTATGACTCCTGGTAGACTGCATGGAGAAGGTGAGTTCATAAAGGCTTACTGATTAATTTCTAAGGTTTGTTATTATTTTTAATGTGTATGTCCCCAGAGCATTGTATGGGCATATCTAAAACAAAACAAAAAATGAATCCAAAGAATGGGTGGATGTAATTCTATGGCCTGTGCTATGCAGGAGGCCAGACTTAGGTTATCATAATGGCCCCTTTGACCTTAAAATCTATCTATGAAA